GAAAAATACAATGCTAATGCAACACTGTTGAAACAAATTAAATACATAAACATGATACAGCAATTGCAACTACTTATTTAAAAAGAAAACCTTAATAAATTAGTAATTGTGCCACTTAAGGCACATTAGTCATGTCCAACATTGATTGGACAAAATGATGAAATCAACCTGTGAATGGATTAAAGTTGAGTCTGCATATTCATCTGATAGACAAAGTATTTTAGCAGTAAAACATTATGTTTCACATTATTAAGAAAACATTATTTTCTTTCCTTTTAAATACAGTCCATTAATGAATCAATTTCAGTAATATCAGTATTAAGAAAGTAATTTGGATTCCATGATGGTTTTAAAGGATTCACTCTAAGTTTAAGATTATCTGCACACTGAGTCAAAAGATCATAAAGAATATAGGTTTTTGTCAGATTTTGAGCATTTTTAACTAGTGAGGACACCCTCACAAGGGCTCCCTTGTGAAAAAGAAGTACACTTAATTATATTGTCAAATCAATTCAAATCAAATCTTAAACGTATTTATGAAAAAAAAAACTGTACTTGCAGGTAATATAATATTAATGATATAAAAGGTGACTGACGTGTACTAATGGATCCAATATAATAAAAAATAAATAATAATAAACAAATAACAATATAAAACATGAATGATACCTTAAATTATGTGGATCAAGGGGGATTTGTGCTATCCCTGCTGAAAAGGCTAGGTTAAAGCGGCATGAATTTTCATGCTAGTCCAAGCTAATGTATTCATGATTGGTCAAGCATGATTTTTCTGATGAAGCTTGTTGACAAAGCCTTTCTGGGGCAGTTAAGATGCCTAGTAGAATCCAACAACACACAACATACGGTATATACCAGTGACTACCAATACTTTTCCAGCAAGATATACTTTTTAAAGCTAGTTTAAAATGTTGCCATGAACAAACACATTGTACAAATCAACTATTGCAAAGATTCCCAGGAAATATCTGTTATGTATGTAATGTTGGTAGAAAGTATGTCAGAAGGTCAAAACTAAAGGGGTTAATATCACCATAGAGTGCCTTTTCAACCCTCACAAACCCTCAAAAATGTTGGTTTTAATTTCCCATTCGCTTTATGTCATGTCATAAATAGTAAACACTCAAGTATTATAGAAACATATTAGCTGAGCTCACACACATTATTTTAAGATAATTATGGGCCATTATTCGAAGCATAAACCATATATGTCCACCCTGTTGTGGACATATATATTACTGTTAAATACGTTTTCATTGCAAAATTAAGATGCAAATTATATTTTCTGAAAGGTATGATGTCCCTTTCCTAAACAGGGTTATTTGTTTGCTTTCAAATTATAAATACATAAAAGATTTTATGTAAACCATGTGTTTTTAAAGAAACTTATACAATTCGCAAGTCTTTTTTCTTATTTGGAGAAAACTGTGATATTTGGATGCAGTTTTTTGTTTGCATGGTATTGGCCCCACACCTAGCTATTGAACACACTGGGTTATATAGATATGATTGAATTATTATTTAAAATATTATAGTAAAATATCAAGATGACAGGGTGGACCAGCACATGACGGGGTGGACACATAAAGCAGAACACACAAAGCATGACAAAATATGACAACGAAACATTTATTCAACTTCGAAAAAAATAATATAATAATAATAAAAAATATAATTACATCCTCAATCACATTGATATACCCCCGCCCATTCATTTTAGTTTTTAGCAATATTAGCTACAAATTAATGCTATGTCCACCCTGTCATGTGTATGTCCACCCTATCGAGTCAAAGTGGCCAACAGGGTGGACATTTTGGAACAAAGACAGGGTGGACATTTTGAGCTTCAATTAGCATATTAGCTTACAACAAACTGTGACTAGCTGAATAGTTAGTCTTGGTTGTTGAAGAGAATTTGGTATATTTAAACTTACTTAATTTGAAAATACTGTATTCTAATCACTTCTGGCATATTGTATATCGGCCGAGTTGCCGACAGGGTGGACATGTTAAGCTTTGGCAAAGCAAGTAAGCAAACGCAGACGAAGAAAATTTGTCAATTGAAAAGTCACCAACTTGCTCACCTCAGCGGTTGAAATTCCCGTCACTGAAGAGACAAACAATCAGTTGTCCTGATGTCACTAAAGGGAATGGCCTTTTCTTAAAGGGGTGGATTCCCCAATACGAAAGGGTGGACAACCATTCAAGGGACATGGACAAACTCTTCTTTTTTATTAAATAAAAATATTGTTTTTATTACCAAATGATCAATACACTCAAATTGAGTAATCTCGTATTTAACAAAATATTAATAGGAGAACAAAATTTTAAAATTTTATGATTTGACAATATTCTACTATCATTCAAATTTAATGAGCAGTGCATGGGACATAGCAAAATAACACGCATACTCTTACACAAAACTAAAAAAAATCTAGAAAATGTATCTAAAGAGCCAAGTAATGCTTTTGTTATGAATATAAAAACTTAGCCTAATATAACACACCCTTTCATAGTCATTTTTATGTTAAGTTATCATGGCAAATGAGTTATGTACAGGACACCAAAAGGCACCCTACAGTGATATTGACCCAAAGAATGTGAGATAATTGCTGGATTTTCACATCAAATTATACTGTGCAAAGCAAACAGATAGTCAGAATGACTGTGGTCAAAAACAAGATACATTGCTTTCATCACGGCCCATGAGATGATCTTTGTGTTTCAGAGAATGACAGAGAAAACAAAGAGAGAGAGGAACATTAGTCCTTCCCTGAGACATGACCAAATCAACACAATAAAACTGTGTCAATACTATATTTCACTCCAAACTCTTTATAAGGATGCAGACTTCACTCTTGCTCCACACAGCTGGCAATCATATTTAA